GAGAGAGAGAGAGAGAGAGAGAGAGAGAGAGAGAGAGAGAGAGAGAGAGAGAGAGAGAGAGAGAGAGAGACTCTAGTTGAACGGCGAGTCAATTCGAAGTTATCGAGGTTGATGTCAGGTCGTAATCTGTTTGGTGACTGACCACCTTTAAGAAGTGGCAGACCACCTTCAAGAAGTGTCAACCTTCACGAAGTGCCAAACACTCGGCGGTCAGAGGACTCCAGTGCTAAAAGCATTCTTAGGGGACCTTGCGGTCGTGTTTAGAACATATTGGCATAGCACTAGATGCTCACCAAACAGTTCTGAATGTCGGTTATATCGACACGTCATAAGATGCCCTACAAGCAAGCAGCGGCTGCTTGCAGGACCTTCTACCCAGTATGGATCTTTGAGAGCAGAGTTTCGCACTCCACCGTGAGATCCACATCGCATAGGTGGACATGCCATCCTACCGCTGTTAGCTGTAGTTATCTTGAGGGAGTCGATGAGGTGAGGACCCGGCAAAGAAAACTCTTAGGGGACTTTGCTACCGTGTTTTTGGAACTTATCGGCGTAGCACTAGATGTTCACCAAACAGTTATGGATGCCGGTAATATCGACAAATCATAAGAGGCCTTACAAGCGAGCAGCGGCTGCTTGCAGGACCTTCTACCCGGTGTGGATCTTTGAGAGCAGAGTTTCGCACTCCACCGTGAGATCCACATCGGATAGGTGGACCTGCCATCCTACTGTTGTCAATTATAGTCATCTTGAGGGAGTCGACGAGGTGAGGACCCGACAAAGAACACTGTTAGGGGACTTTGTTGCCGTGTTTGGAACATATTGGCGTAGCACTAGATGCTCTCTAAGCAGTTCTGGATGTGGGTCATATCAACACATCATAAGATGCCTTACAAGCAAGCAGCTGCTGCTTGCAGGACCTTCTACCCGGTGTGGATCTTTGAGGGCAGAGTTTTGCACTCCACTGTGAGATCCACATCGGATAGGCGGACCTGCCATTCTACCGTTGTTGGTTGTAGTCCTCTTGAGAGTCAATGAGGTGAGGACCCGGCAAAAAACACTCTTGGAGGACTTTGCTGCCGTGTTTGTAACTTATTGGCGTAACACTAGATGCTCAGCAAGCAGTTCTAGATGTCGGTTATATCGACACATCATATGATGCCTTACAAGCAAACTGTGGTCGGATCCCGTCCTCCATCCCCGGTGTGGATCTATGAGAGCAGATTTGACGCAATGCACCGTTAGATCCACATCGGAGAGGCGGAGCGGTCATCCTACCGCTGTTCAGTGTAGTCATCATGTGGGAGTCGACATCGCAAGAACCCGACGATGTTCTAATTGGGACGTGCTCTTGTTTCGTGATGTGCAGGTGCTTACCGGCGGTGCGTTCGATCACCCTCCTCGACGTGAAGCAAAGTGCGAGGGAATTGCTCAGGGCTCATACCAAAAGTGCGGTTGAACTCGCTCTTTGATGGAGAAGCGGTTGCGCAGTCCATCATCGTGACGATTTAATATGGACATTGGCTTGTCATTTGTATATTCCAGGTTGAAAGCGCCATCAAATCTTTCTGTGTAGAAAATTCATATTCATTCATACAAGTATCTTTTGTCATCGCAAACATCGAGATGAAAACATCTCAAGTCAAATTGCAAAGCACACAGAGACATCGCAAACATCGAGGTGAAAACATATCAAGTTGCCTAGTGTTTTTCCAAAGGTGAAGTCTCACAGTCCACGAACAGTTTTCAAAAACCATTCAATGCAAAAAATTCATTCAATGACAAATTGCAAAGCACACTGAGAGGTTTCAAAAAATCATTGAATGTAAAATATCATACAATCCAACATTGCAAAGTGCACGGAGGCTTTCCAGAAATCACAAAGTACATGGACCCAAAGTGCGAATATGTTTCCATTTCTCATATGGAACCAACAACTCAATCACAATTGTACGGCATCCAAAGTGCGAATATGTTCGCATTTCTCATACGGAAACAACAACCAGCATTCCGTGGAGAGCACGAGATGTATTTCGGGGACAACACAATTGGTAATCATTTAGTGCACCGCTGAATCCGTAAAACAATTTCAAGCACACATAGATTTTGGCGACAATTGGTTTCCGAATGGAAAACAAGTTCGCAACTGTTATAAGGAACCAACAGACAGCATTCAATGAAAACAAGCAGAGGGGGTGAACCATAAAACGGGGCGGCACACGCAGAACAAAGGCGAACCAAAACATATGAAAGTTGGGTGGTCAGGGTGGGGCGGGGGAGAGGGGCTTTCACACCACAAAGTCTCGCGAACGACAGAGATAAGCACGAAACAATTTGGCAACCAAGAATAAATCGTCGATATCTTTCAGTAAGAGCATGAGTGCAAAATGTTTACAAGAGGACGAAGACGTCCTATGAGTAAGAGAGCAGCACAACCTCGAAACGAACAAACGCAGCACGGTGCTGCCGCGGTCTGAAAGCCGGGATATTCACATCCCATATCTAAGCGTCTACTCAAAAGATACTGCACCATGTGGCTGGAATATTTACATCGGCATGTAAGATTGTACTTCACGTAAGCGTCCGCTGCAACCCTCTAGCTGATGTTGCGCGGCAAGCAATGAGAACAACCCGAAAACAAACAAAGGCAGCACGGCGCTGCCGAAAGGCGTACGAGTAAAGATGACAGGTTCCTCGAAATGAAGAACCCTTAAAAAATTGCTACAGCACGAGGCTGGGATATTCACATCGACACCTAAGCGTTTACTTGACCAAAACATCCACTGCAATCCGGTACCTCATCAAAACAACAGCACAGCTCGAACCAGCGGAATGGTAGATCAAGTGGGAATAAATTCGCACTTCTGCTTATGGCATTTCGAAAAAAAAACTACGTGTATTTTAACAACAGTGGTATCATTCAGCGCCTTGGAGTATCTCCACCGCAATCCTCAGCCGGATGTTTGGAATGTCGTTTTGGTCTATTAGAAATGGTAGCGGACAACCGCGTGCAAGAAATTGAGTGAAGGCGAGCATGAAAACACCGCAGCTCGACCCGTCCGATTGTTGAGGGACACCACGAACAACCACCTTGGGCTCCTGGAGATCCACTTTCGTTTTTTGACCATGATGACAAACTGCTTCTTCACGGAGGTATTGCGTGAAGTTCGCAATCACATTGAAAGAAAAACCGCCATCGTCTTGTACGAGGGAGTCGTGGTACTCCAGCCGTTGTTCTCGGAGACACAATAGGGTCCAATGCACTCCATGTTTATGGACAGGAATCAAGACCATCTCGTACGAGAAAATATCCATATCTTTTGTCCATCTCGCAACCCTATCATGTCGATAGCCGCCACAGACGAGCTTGGTATAGAAAAAAGGACTGAAAATTTAAAGAGAGGGACACTCAGGCAACGTAGCGTTGGCAAGCAAGGCCAAGTAGGACTCCACCACCTCGTCGGAAAGTCATTCCCCTTGAACAAGAGTTTGAAGATTTTTTCTGCTCAACGAAATTGAACTGACCCCTTTGCGAACCGAGGATACCACCTCGTGGCCGTTGCTGAAATCAGCACAGACGTTCCGCAACATTCTCAAGTTCGTAGCGCTAAGCTCCTTAGTAGACAACGGAACGCGAAAACATAATATAGCCCTAGCTGCACAAACACCCACGAACAAGTGTAAGGAGTGATCAAAATCACCGGGGCGAAATGACTAAGAACCGTCTGCCCTTTTCCCAGAAAAGTTGTATCCCCGACTGTTAAATGTGTCCTTGGCGATGTACTTAGGACACGGGTCTTTCAACACACCCCATTTGGCATCATCATCAGACCCATCAGACAAAGCAGTAACGCTTTCAATAGACACAGCCAAATGTTTCCGCAAACCTTCCTCCTTATCTATTCCACAAACCTTCAAAACCGTGACAGCTCTCTGGGAAAGGCGAGACATCTGGACCCTTTTAAACAACCCTACACTTGATGACTTCTTCGGTAAAGCGGCCAATGACCTCCCTGAAAGACATTTCTCGCTCACAGCTTTTACAGGCTTCATGGGCAGGGACATTGACAACCTCACACCTGTAGAACATAGAAAACAGCCCACAACCCACAAACTTTTTTTTTACAAGTGGTAAAAGGTACATTAGCCCATGACATCAATTTGGACGAACACAGAGTTGGCTAGTGACAGATATGTGAGTGCTCCTATTCACAAATCTTATAGTGCTCGGGAGCCCTTTAAGGGAACTCGCCCGCCTGTCGTGCCACTGCGCCAACGTCCACGGACGATTCGAGGTTCTGCACCTCGGCCACGGCTGTGTCGCTAACCAGCTCGGTGAAAGCTGAGTCGCTTGGCAAGTCGATGGCTTCATGAAGCACCATTTCACGACTTGTACTCAGGACAGATGCTCGATCACCCTGTTCTGCACTGCAACAGGTGGACGGAGAATCATGATCTTTCCGCTTTAGATCCATCTTGATGCTGATGGCCACCTCACCGCCTTCCACGGAGGATTCGACGTTCTGCATCTCGGCCACGCCTGAGTCGCTAACCAGCTCGGTGGCAGCCGAGTCGTCACCCAACTCTATGGCTTCATGAAGCACCATTCCCCGAGCGGTGCTTAGGACAGACGCTCGACCACCCTGTTCTTCACCGCAACGGGTGGGCGAAGAATCCCCATCTTTCCGCTGTGGATCCGTCTGGATGCCGACAGTCACCTCACCGCCTTCCACCACGGGTTCTCCGCCTTTCTCATGGCCATGAACCCAAGCTTCCACCGCGGGTTCTTTTTCGTCTTCATCGTCGCCAAGAACGGGAGCTTGCACAAACGTCCACTGACCTCCCTTAACGACACCCTCTCGCGTCGTGGCCACAACCGACCGACTGTGCAGAACCTCTTCGGACGTCCCGATCACCATCGCTCGTGCGTAGAGTCCCTTCACATCTTCCTGAGCCGGCATCCTTCGTGACTCCTCTCCCCGCTGTAGAGCATGCGTTTCCCCCGGAGCTCCTGCACTCTCGCTGTCAGTGTCCACGGACGCACCCTCCGAAGCATGACGTTCACACTTGCTACCCCCGGTCACCAACACTTTGCGAGACTGCCAGCGTTGAGTCTCCTCTTCCTGATGTACAGCACGCGTTTCCGGAGAGCGCTCCTCTTCCCCAGGAGTATGACGTTCGTACTCGCCACCCCCGGTCTCCAACACTCCTGCAGCGGGCCCCTCCAAACGTCGCGAGACCGCCAGTCTCGAGTCTCAACACATGAGAACGGAGGCGAGCAGGGTAACCCTGTGTCCAACTGAAGATGCGGGGGGCAGGACGTCACATTTTCTTGGACCCGCGGAACTGTTGCATGAGGAGCACTTATGGCGGAGGGCGACGTCAGCAAATCCATATGTATGCGGAATTTGTGGCGGTCGCCCAAGCCGAGGGAACTGAAGGTCGCACCTTCGTTCCTTCGCAATGCACGCATCCCGCCCTCCAGGCAAAACGAAGACGCGCCCTCTTTCAGGAGCAAGGTGTTGAGCACAGGAGACCTCTGCTGCGCACGGCGGGATGGACTCTCCTCGGCAACGGGAAACAAAGTCCTCACAGACAAGTGCGAATCTACTCGCACTTGATCAGACCTCAGGGTGGCCTCGTCTCGCATGTCGGAATCTCGACTCCGTACACAGTGGGGGTCAGTTTCCATATATTGGGGACTCCCGGACGTGTTCATTGCCCAACCCCTTCCCGCGCGACCCCTTCCCGCCCGACTCCTTCCCGCCCAACCCCTTCCCGCCCAACCCCTTTCCGCCCGAGTCCTTTCTGCCTGACCCCTTTCCGTCGGACGCCTTCTCTACCGACGATGTCTCGCCCGTCCCCTTTCCGACAAACTGTGAGCTGTCTCCTCCGCCACCTCCGCCGTCTTCTTCGTCTCCTCCTCCACCCCCTCCCGGATGCTGACCGCCCGACGGAGGTTGCGGCATGCGCCAGTCAATGCCACGAGACGGTGTCGTTTCGATTGTGTAGAAAGGCGCTCGAAACTGCAACATGTTGTTGGCATACAACTCATTTAGCTTGTGTTCTGCATACGCAACGACGTCCGGATCGTTCCTCTCGGGGTTCATAAGACTCAAATGCTCCACCAAAGCATGTCTCGCCGTTCCTTTAAATGCACCCGCTCCCAGTCTCTTCAGTCCACTCCACTTGCCATCGGCCTCCTTCATTGCCATGACCCACATTCCATTCTTCACAGCAGGTTGGAATATCCTCGGATGCCAGACGACGTTGTATCCCCTCATATCCTCCGCTGTGAACTGGTGGTGCTTGCCGAAGAAGTAGAGTCTGTCATTCTGCCAGGTGTCGTGGTCCTCAGGGAGCCTGTCACAAGGTTCGTGATCATAGTCTCTCTCTTCGTCCCCGTCATTAGACGATTGGTCGTCGAGTGGTTCGCCCCAAAACACACGCTTCAAACCGGCAGGGGACATGCTATATCTCCGAGGGCCACCTTCCTCTTCATCACCAACCTGTCCAACCACCCGAGGAGGTGGCATGGACTCGAAATCGAAGGTTTCGGAGTCGCTCAACTCCTCCATGTCTTCAGCGTCGAAAGGGTCCTCCTCGTCAAACTGAGACTTGTAGTTTTCGACGGTGAGCGGTTCGGCCAGCGTGAAGTAAACGTGCTCCAGCCTTCTCAGGAAATGCGAGACAGACTCCCTCGGGTGCATCGTGGTACCCATTGAGTACACCGAACACCAGGTTTCTCCGTCTACTGTATTCAAGGTCAGTCGGACCAGCTTCTCGCCATTAAAAATTACGTACAGGCGGTTACACTCCTCAACCAGCATATTGCTTTCCCGGACAGTGGCCTGCTTTTGTGCATTGCGCACCCACTTCCCTGTCTTGACGTGATGGACACTATGCCTGGCCATGCCTTTCTAGAAATTGAGCTCCCAACGAGAGGGGAAAAAAACCACAAGTGCCCAGTGTGTTGGCAAAAGTGTTTGGAGAACGCCTTGCGTTGGCGAAATCGTCTTCTCGCCAGTCTGTGAGGAGTGGGGGATCACACAAATCGAGGACGTATAGGTTGCACACGTAATATCGCACAACCTCATGGATCGCAGTGACATGATTGTGAGCTTGGGAAGCCAGGAAAGCGAAAGGAATAAGGCTGGTCACCCAGTTGAGGTCGGGCCATTTGATGTGCCTCACATCCCCGCTGACCCTGATCGTGTCTCGAACTTCTTCTTCCGTCCGTCGCAAAATGGAACGGACAGACTTTTCGAAAGATTTAGGGAACCTGTCATCATCGTACAATCTCTTCGCGTCGTCGAGGGACTCCTTCTCGTGCGGAAGAGTACGTTTGCAAGTGTTCACGTACTCCACCTTGCCCTGGAAATGCTTTCGCATTTCGACCCACATTTGTTTCGTGAGGCCCTGCGGCCCGGACTCCTCTAGAAGCCGCTCCTCAGTCCGGAAAAAAGGGCTCCTGTAACGCCAAACACATTCGTGCTCCTCCGTTTCAAGGAACAAGATGTAGTGGAACATACGCAGCATCACACGGTCCACTTTCCTCGTCGCGACCATGTCTTTAATTCCAGCTTTATGCTGACGCTTCAGATGTCCGCCCGCGGATTGCACGAACACCCCCCTTAGTGCGAGAATGTTGTCGAGGATCGACAGTTTCTCGACATCGGTCATGTCGGCGAGACACTGCCAACAGAACATGTCTGGCTCCTTCACGACCACGAAAAGCTTGTCGTCCGCTTGCGTTTTCTTTTAGGTCGGAGGAGGCGGGACCCGGACCAGCCACCCCATCTTCGTTTCTCCAGCCGCCCCTTTCGAGCCCATTTCCAGATTTGCTTGCAGACCCGGAGATTTGTCTGGCATGTATTTGCCCGGCCTCGACAATGGCGTCTTGCCGCCGCCGCCCAACAACTTTCCCTCCGCCCATTTCGTGTAGAACTCAATGGCTTTGCGGAAAACGTCATCACCGGCCGTCACGAGCGGCATCCACTGCCTCAATGCATTGCCAACGACAGCGACATACTCCTTGTCGGTGAGCAACAAATCTTTTTTTGCCAATGTCCTGTGAGCTTCGTCCGGACTCTTTCCCAAAAGCAGCTTTTGGAATTCCTTGTCGGAAGGGTTCCCTTGAATGGCCATCGACCTTCCTTCTTTTTCCCACGCCTCCCTCATGTCCAAGAATGCGGCCTTCTGCGATCACTGCTTAGACATCTTGTGTCTTGTGTTCTCGTTGAGACTGACCTGCCTATACCCCGCGAAATCTCGGTCGGAGAACGACACTACTCTCGCCGGCCACGAGTGCATCTTCCACAAATCGAATATTGGCTCACCCTCCAACTCCTTCACAGCAGCCACGGTGTGTTGTCCGTTAACAGGGTAATAGTAGTACTTGTCCTTGTCCTCTGGCTTGAAGACATCTTTGTGAACCCTGTCAGCTTTCTCCGGCCTACGCGTCACCGGCTTGTAGATGGGTGCGAGAACCAAAGGGTTTTTTGTGCAGATCTTCCCCTTTTCTCGTGGAATTGACTCACCATCACAGCCTTGATGTCGTCCACAGTTTCGCGATTAAGACTGCGGTGGTTGTAATATCTTTCCCAAGGCGGGATGTCACAGACCTTCCTAGGGTCGATGAGCAGTTGAACGGGGAGCTCCTTCTTGACGATCTCACCGCCATCGTTCCGCTTGTATTCGAGCCAGAACACTGCCGCTTCATCGCACTCCTCACCGACAGGCCGTTCGCCACCGCTCGCCGCGTCAGCAGTCTTCCGCCTTCGAGGTTTCTTCTGGCCATCGCCTTCTTCAGCTGCCACTTTCTATTTCAATTTCCCCGAAGGTTCTCTCGCGGCCGCAGCGCCTGGATTAACCGAATCTCGTCCACCCATGGCTTGTCCTTCGCGGATGGCCAAACCGCCGGGCCTCCTCGCTTTCTTACTTGCCGTCTCACCCTCTTCCTTCGACGGCCTCTTTCCCGAGGCACGTTCTCCGACGTCACCTCCATCCCCGCCCATCACCACCTCCGATTTTCCTCTCATCCTCTTCATGCAGAGGGTTCCCTCCGCCACCTTCTCTTGCACCATCCTCTGTCGCTCGCGCTTCTTCTCCGAAGGAGTTGGCTCCCCGCCAGAGCTTTCACGGACAGCGCCCATCCCTTCAGCCTCATTCCCTCTGACATCTTGCCCCGATCTGCCGGATTCTCTTCTCGTCTCATCTCGAAGCGAATACGTGTAGCCGCCGCATTGGACCTTGAGGAGTTTCGGAGTAACGACCCGTTGAGTCCCTGTACCCTGAGAATGCAAGTCCGACGTGTTCCGAGGAGCATCCGGGCTGACCTGCGTGCGAACGGTGCGCGCGAGCCCCTTGACCCGACCCCCAGCGTCGTGAATCGCACTCCCGCGCCCCACTGTCGTCCCTAGAGTTTCTTGAGCCAAGCCGGACGACCCCTCATGGGGTGGCATAAGCCTAAAAACATGTTCTCGCGGAAGAACCGGACGTTCTTTCGGCACCATCATCGCGAGATCGAGATATTACTCTGGCGATGGAAGACGCTTGCTGCCGCCATCGTAAAGACCTTTGAAGTGAGAGCACAACGTCATGTTCGAGCCGTACCCCGCAAAACTCTTGATGGTCACCAGCACACCCTTAACACCTCTGAGAGACAGTCTCCAGGAGTCTTGGCGCACGAGATGATGGTACCGAGAGGAAGAACGTTGACCGCTCCCCCAGCTATTGGAACTCAAGTGGGTCGCATGAAAACAGCTTGCCCAAAAAGGTCCCCCTAAACAACGAAGTCCAAAAACCATTGTGCTTCCATTGCGTGCATATACTGAGGAGTAGATTGCTGAAGAGGTAGTCCCTCCCCGGGGGCAGATGGTCTAGCGCTTGTGGATGTGTTCTTTGCGGACGCCATTGTACTCCCACCCGGTGACTAACGCGCCCAACCTCAGACCAACTCGGATGACTAACACGCCCAACCTCAGACCACTACAGAAGCGAAGTGCGAACTAACTCGGACTTAACGAAATGGAGGACGAAAAGGACGTAAGAGATGGGTGTTCGAAATGCACACGAAGTCACAACAATCGGGTGAAGCCTTGAAGGATAGGAAAGACAGCAGTCCTCTGGCAGAGTGAGTTCGGAAGGAAGACAACAGCTCCACGGAGAGAGTGCGAACGAGTTCGCTGTCGTAAAATCGAGGAAGAGGTGATTTATCTTCAGGAAAGTGCGAACTAACTCGAAGTTTTGGGAATGAAGTCGTCTACAACAAGTATTGCATGGGTATCGACAAGGGGAAACCGACGTGCAGTTCTGGGTTGAAGGAAACCGAAGAATGATATTGGTGTTTGAAATGCAAACGAACACAAAACAATTGGGTGGCTGGCAGAGTGAGCTCGGAGGGAAGACGACAACTCTTCGGAAAGATTGCGACCCGACGCGCTGCCCTCGAAACGAGTAAGATGTGGTTTATCGACAAGTGCGAAGGGTGTCGACAAGTGCGAACTAACTTGCAGTTATGTAGACAAGACAACAATGGCAACCCGCAGTACTAGGGGAAAGTGCAAACTAACTCGGAATTTGTGGAACTGAAGACCTGAAAGACGCACGAAACGAGTAAGATGTGGTTTATCGACAAGTGCGAAAGGTGTCGAGAAGTGTGAACTAACTCACAGTTCTGCTGATAGGACAACAATTGCAACCCGAAGTACAAGGGGAAAGTACGAACTAACTCGGAATTGTGGAACTGGAAACCTGAAAGCCGCACGAGATGGGTTATCAACTCCTCCAGCAGTGTTGCTCAAAAAGTGCGAACTGACTCGCATTTGTGGAAATAAAGAACTGCCTTTAATGAAATATGTGTCTAACCTCGGGAAAGCGATGAATTAACTGACAGTTGTCACTCCTCAAACAATGTATGTCGCAAACTGGGAACTGACTTGGAATATATCTCTCTCTATATATATGTATCTATATCTATCTATATATATATATCGATATCAGGTCGGCGACCTCACAAGGGACAAGTGAGCAAAAATCGGGAATTGATTCGGTGTTCAGTGTAGCAATATATCTATATATATATGTATCTATATCTATATATATATATATAGATAGATATAGATATCAGGTCGGCGACCTCACAAGGGACAGGTGAGCGAAAATCGGGAATGGATTCGGTGTTCAGTGTAGAAACTAGGTATTGATTCGGGGTTCGCCATGCGCAGTGACGATTACAAGTTGCGAAGGGGATCGAGCAACTTTATACAAACGTTATCGTGGCTATGGCGAAAGGTAATCGAGCGGCGGAACGCGGATCGGCTATGGCGGACGGAGGKGGAGGGTGGAGAAAAGACATTAGAACATGTTCACTGGCGAAACAACAAAATTGGGAATTGATTCGGGGTTCAACAGAACGCGGCTGCGGCGTTATATCCTACAGGTAGAGACAGGGCATCTGGGAATCTGTTCGGACATCGGACATTGAATAGGACAACTGAAGTTATATAATTTTACCTTCGTCGTGCGGATATGGATGTGTGACCACCGAACCAGCTATGGTGGAGGGATATCGAGCTAGGAAGAGCGAAGAGCGAACCGAACACAATGTGGCAACTGCGGACGGAGTGAAGAGCGAAGAGTGAGCGGGCTATGGCGGAAGGTGGTGGGGGCTGAAGACCAAATATCAGAACGCGCGCGGAAGCGATAGCGCGACTTGATCTATGGAGCGACAACAAAAGGGATAACTCGAGGGCTGCAACGCCTTTTATACTTTGCTGCAGCAGGCCTCGCGCCGGGATCAAGGTGGGGCCGAATCGATTCATATATCACACCCCTAGGCCCATAAAACGCCATCAAGGTGGGGCCGAATCGATTCAACATGTTATTCGTTAAAATAGGACATTGTATTTTAAATTGGTACTCGCAAGCTTTAAATTTCATGTTAAAATCACCATATTTTAGACTTAAATGAAACTTGGGGCTACGAGTATTGAATCCGATGATTGCAATTGACAGACCATAAATCGAAACTGAACTGAAGATTCAAGGCAATTACGTACTGAGCATGATGGTTCAAGTGTGGATTCTATTGCACTTCCCTAAATTTTGTAACTTGAAAGCCGTTACGGTAATTGACATCCATAAATTGAAACTTTATCGAACTTCAAGACTAACTTTTAGGCAATAACACGGTAAACGAGATGGTTTAAGTATGGATTCCATCGCACTTTATGGAAGACTAACTTTATGGAAGACTAACTTGAAGGCAATCACACGGTAAACGAGATGGTTTAAGTATGGATTCCATCGCACTTCGATAATTTATGTAACTTAAAAGACGTAAGTGGTGGACTTGCATAAATTGGAACTCAATCGAAGAGTTAACTTTAAGGCAATCACACGGTTTACCGTCTGATTGCCTTAGAGTTAAGTATGGATTCCATCACACTTCGATAATTTATGTTACTTAAAAGACATTACCGACATGTCATTGTCATACATTGAAATTCGCTGACACTGGAAGGTGCACGTAATAAGGCATTGAACGAGAAGGTTTTGAATGACCTCAGAGTCTGCATGAATTTTGACTAATTTTGAGTGGGACGTATTTGACATGACATTGTATCAAGCAGAAATTGGATGTCAATGAAATAGTTGATGCAATCACACGGCAAACGAGATGGCAAACGAGATGGTTTAAGTACTATGGATTCCGTCGCACTTCGACAAATTACCATAAACTGACATGACATTATCATGAACTTAAAATCAAGTGAGTACTATGAATTCCGTCGCACTTCAAAAAATATCGTAACAAGATTGAACTACGAATGCTGTGTCTAAATTAAATGCTACGAGCCGCTGCAATCTAAACTTTCGAAACGGTTTTCGCTATCATACATAAATGTAAAGCATCTACAAGCGTCCCTGAGCATCTACATAATTTCTGTATCTTCTCCAGAACCACGCAATCCATATGCGCAAGGGCGAATGGGATATGAATAATCATGTCTCATTTCTTCTGTCGCACAGCCTACACAATACGTGACATGCACACACGAACGAAAACGAAATGTCGGTAAAGTAGAAACATCAACACATGATGAAGTTAACTTCAGAAATTGCTTAACCACCACCCAACCATCCGAAAAACATCAACCCTAAACTGTGTATAAAATCAACGAACTCGTCGTACAACAGACTCGTCGCAAATCAAAAGAATATATAGTCCGTTCTTAATTCCCGTCCGAACAGTCATTCCCTTCCGCACATGGACTTAGATCTCGAAGTGCAGCTTCAGCGTTCAGTCGAACGTGAAGGAATGACAAGTCCAGTCGTGAACGGCTTTGTACCTCTACCTGGCCTCTCCCAACCAAAAGTGATCGAGTCGGCATGTTGCCATTGTGTCTGGTCAGTCTTCTTCCATCTTTTTTCCCATGCATTATCGTATAATTCTTCGAGCGACTTTGCTCTCTCGGTTGGCACCCAGTATTCCACGAGCACTTCATTACAATTTGGCAAATCCTTTTTACGAACCACCTGCGATTGTGCTCTTCCCACCCAAATAAGCACGCCTTTCGAAATATCGTCGTCGGAGTGGCGAAAGATAAGAAAATTGCTGACGTTGATATGCTCGAGGGGGTCGAAACTGGGCTTCGGGCGATCTTTTCTACGTCCATCGAACAGGGGTTCCCTGCCGTCGATGTTGGCATTACTAGGAGAAGATTGTTGATCATTTTCGAGGGGACGAGGGTTTGGCCAAAAACCTTCCTGAGGTTGTGTGGACAACCCGTTCGCGATAATCTCGTCGCCACGTTTGATAACCTCGTCCCGGTACCACAAAGCTCTTTCTCTCCGACTCTCCTCATGTTCGTTGAAAGTGCACCATGTTGACCGCCTGCTCTCCAACAACTCGCGGAATCGAATAACACCATGTTTGCCATTCAGATAGTGAACAGGCTTCGCGGGAGGCGGGTCAAATGGCCACGAAGGACCTGCGTAGCTTCCATCGGGGTTCTGATTGAACCAATGAATCGGACCTTCCTCGGGCAGCCAGTTGTCGTCATCGCAAAGCTCCTTGTACAACATGCCTGGGTTATCTCCAACCATAAAAAATTTAAGCAAGTGTGGTTGGGAAATACCGGTAATGTCTGACGCAACGCATGGGTCTACTATACTTATAAAATCTGCCAATGTGTCGAGGAAAATACATTTGGGAGACTTTTTGTGGGATTGCTCTATGAGCTCAAACAACTCGTCCATAGTATAAGCGTCTGTGTCTTTCAATTTCTTAGAGAAGACACTGAAAGTAGCATCAACGTCCGTGTGGGTATGTCCCACCAGCATGAAACCTATTTCCACCTCTTGGAAAACTTTGAACTTCACCAACAGTGCAGCCAGTGCACATACGTACTTGTTCCTGTTTTCCCGCCAACAATTATCTGCTTGAATGCGCAAAAAGGGTGGTAGTGACCCCCCAGTCGCTTGAATTTCGACGAGGGTTCGCGTGAGACAAGTAACGACTGTGTTCGAATCATGTTTGAAATATGGAAACCACGTGTACACATAAATAGTAGGGTCTCTACCGTGTGC